ATATATTTATACGTTTTGTTGATGTTTGATTTTTGAAAATGATCATAGCAAGAACGAAGAAAATTGTTTAAGAAAATTGTATTATATAGATAAGTAAATACGTTCGGATGGAAAAATTAATACAGGAAATGGATGGAAATATACCATGTTTTTGTACATTTGGAAGAGATCGAAGGGAAATTTATTTTAAATGAAATTCTAAAGTTTCGCGTAAAGGTTCGAGAAACGTGCGTATTTTCTGTCTGAATATTTTCATTGTCGATATTATTCCAGTTACGGTAAAACTTAATATTATATTAGTATAGTTTTCCGATATATTGACGTCAGATTTCTGTGTTTTAAATTTCAATACAACATTTTCAACTGTGTTTATTTATTTCGATGCAATTGAATTAAACGCATCCCGCTGATAAAAGCTTCGAGTGAATTTTCCCTTTCTTTGTGCAGATCAGAAAAATCATATAAATTTTCTCACCGAGGAATAAAAGTAAATTTCCAAAAAGAACGAATATAAAAACGTGCGACAATTAATCACTACGTGTAAATCTTTCTACTTTCAAATTCTACCTTTCAAATTCTCGATTTCGCGGGTGGCAAAAAATTTTCACAAGCCGAGAATCGTATCGCCCGCTCCTCCAGTTTACCTCGATTCGACGACATTTGCATTTATTTCAATTTCGAGTCACCACCGCTTCTCCATCCCCACTTGAAAGTTCAGTTTCAAGTCGCTTGAGAGACGAGAATGGCGAGGGCATTAGTGTAATTGTCCTCGAGAAAATAAGGGGGGGGGGGGGGCACGCAAGGAAAAGAGCTGCAAAAATAGAAACTCTCTTACCTTAGTCACGTTCCTAACTTTTTTTTTTTTTTCTTTTTCTTTTGCTCGCAATTTTTCTTCCCGTGTATTTTCCATCGTTTTCGCGATGGAACTCGCCATAGTTTATTTCGACCCTTCCTTCGAGGCAGTTGGAAAGCCCCTCCTCCCCCCTTAAGAAAAGAATTAAAATCGAGTTTCAAACCCTCGTTTCGTTTTAACGAATTTTGAATTTTTCTTCTTCCTTTTATTTCTTTCTTTTTTTTTTATATATATATATATATACGGGGGGGAGAGGGGGGGGAGAGCTCGCAAAACCCGGTCGAATAAATATTTGACAAGTTTCCGGGTTCAAAGTCGGATGAAAAACAGTTTTCACTGTTTAATTAATTTCGCAAATATTGCGTGGACGTGAAGTGAAAATGGGTTTTTTTTTCCTCCCCCTCCCCCCTCCCCCCTCCCCCCCCTCCCGAGTTTTTTTCCATTTTCCATGGAAAACTCGATATGTAAACCGTGAATTAAACGATATCGGATTTTGGGGCACACGCACGTGTAACTTCCTATTTTTTTTTTTTTTTTTTTTTTTCCTCTCGAAAATTCGTATACCGTGTTTGGATCGATGTTGTTGGATATTTACGACGATTTTCCACGGATCATTTTTCTCTTTTCCGTTAATACGGATCTAGATAAGTAATTGCGGGATGGATGAAGGGGAACAACGGATGTAAAATCGGTGCTTGCTCCCCCGTGTTTCAGGGGGATCATATCCCCCGCCCCCCCCCCCCGCCCCACCGAGAAGTAATCCTAAAAAATTAATCGTCCGCAAAAATTGCGCGATTTATTATCTATCTTGATGCCGTTTTATCACGCTCGGAGGGTGGAATTAGAATAAATAGAACGCGAGTTTTTGGACGTTGCACGATTCTTCGTAATGGAATTTCGATAATTCGTAAGGTTTCGAGTGTCAGTTTGCTCGAAATCTATTTGCATTCCTTGAAAATTTGGATATTTCGATAAGAGTTTTGTTATTTATTTCGAATAATTTGCAATGCACTGCTGTTATATATATCGAAAAAAATACACGTCATCTTTGATTAAAATTTATTTGAAACGTGGATCCTGCATAGAATCGTATTATTACGATGGAGAATGGATAAGAATAATACGAGAATTTTTATTTTTATTCGTTAATTTTAAAATCCTCTAACTTTACTTCAAAAAAATGCAAAGTACTAACTCATCATCTATGCAAGGATTGTTTCATCCAAATTTAAAACTGCAACTTCTCTCAAAACAGAATGTTCAATCGTTGTAAAATCATTTAACAAAATAATTCGGATGATGATATTCATACAGTTTCTCCTCTCGAAAACTCGCACGCGACAAAAAAAAATAAAAACAAGCGGAGCGAGAAGGGGTTCGATAAAAGTTTGAAGCGATTCATTCGAAAACGAGGAAACCGTTTGGAAAACGATTCTCGCCAAGAAAATTGTCGTCGACGCCAACGCTTGCTAAATAAATATCCCCGGGGCCTTGAACACTTCCATGCTAACCCTGAACGCGCAAAGTCGGGGGAGCAAAGAGCTTAAAAAGCTGAAACTTCGGTCCGAGAACTTTTGCACCACCTCCCTTTAGTGCCACTTTTTTCCCAGCCTCCCTCCCCCCCCCTCCTCGCTGCTAGATTTTTCGCCTTCTTCTTTTTTCTCGCCCAGCTATTCTTAACGAAAGAACAACGCTTTCGTTATACGCTTTCACGAGTGGACGAGTTGTTATTTATTTAACGAAAGTATTAATAACTTTTATTTCGATTAATCGATCGAATATCACCTTCATATAATTTTCATAAAAAAAATGTTTCTCTTTCAAAAAAATATCGATTTATCCTTTTTTTTTTTTTTAATTCATATCGAATGAACACAATGTTACGACGCCCTCTCTAACCGATATTATTATTATCGAGTTCTTTGTATTTCGGAACAATACAATTCGCGTCTCGTGCGAATTGCGAAACACGATCGTTGAACGCGAAGATCTCTTTGTTGGGGGCAGAGGGCGCAATTATTGTGAAACTCGACTTCGATTAAATGGACCGCAACTTGTCATTTTTCGATCGTCGATTCGAGCTCTGGACGATTCATTGTTCACGATTTCAATTACACGGTGCATTAGCCCCGCCAGCCAAATGCCGCCATATTTTGGAGAATCTCGCGAAAACGGTTAATCGAAAGGATTAATAATTTTAACTCTCTCTCTCCTACGTTTCGTTTTATTAAGAAGTACTCTACCATGGAGTTAAACGTAATTGAGAATGGAATAGAAATTTTTCTAATTCGTATATCCTTACTCGGTTTTGCCTCGAAATTTTTGACAGTCGTATTTTTCTCGTCGTTTTGAAATAGTTAAAAAGTAGTTGTGATATTGAATTATTCGTTAAATGTTATAAAATACCATCTATAATAGTATTTAAGAACATTTAGGAAGTTTTAACATTTTTATTTTGTATATTTTAAAATAAAATTTAGTTGGGCTATACTTATATATATGTATCAGTTCTTAGTTTTCATTGACAACACCGATTCTGAATTAGTTGTTCTCAATGCCTCTGCTTCTTCGTCCATTTTCCAAAGTCAATCTTAAGTATTCTGGTCTGAACATAAGCCTCTAATTGGCTGTCCAACTTCGACTCAATTCTGTATTATCGACGGAAATAACAATGTTAAAGATATAAACTTGTTCCTCTTTTCTATTTCTATTCTTCTTAAATTTCAAATTCCAACCTATATTTTATATTTATATTTCACTGCTCATTCCATTAAATTTCTTTTCTCGCTATTTTACATTCCATTGCTATACATACATTTACTTGTTACTCGATTGGTAACCTTCTTAAATATAAATACGTGTTAAAAAATTCAAAATTTCAACAAAATTCAAATTGAAATATCTACTAAACTCTTACTCTTACGTGCATGGATTAATACTTTGTTATAGAGAAACATTCTGTTCAATTTCCATCCAAATATTTCTTCTAGATTCTTAAAAGAATTTCCTGAAATTTCTGAGGCCAAGATCAAATTTATACAAACAACTTTTTATTCCAGCAATATGTATCACATACGCTGCAAATCTTTCACAATGATAATAAATGACAGTAAACAAAAAGAAAGGCACAACAGTTTGAATAAGAATATTCCAATGGAAATTAAAAATTCGAAAGCGATCATCGATACGAATCTATCAAGGATCTATCGATCGATGGGCCACCGGCTCGTCGGCCATAATCTTTGTTTTCTCGATTCCATCCTCCCGATCGAGAGGCCGGAAGGGGATAAAGTTTCGCGAGATAAAAGTTCCTTTCGTGGATAGAATGAAAAATACACACGTCGGTGGATACACGACACACACACACACGGAGAAGGGGCTAAACAACCTCCGGGTATAGATTTATAGATGGACGATACCCGCTGGGAAATCAGCATCGTCTGCGCTTTCGAGCGAGATGCCGAGCCGTTGCTGAAAAAAAAAAAAAAAGCGCCAACTTTTCGAGTTTTCATTGCCCTCCCCATTGCCTTTTTCCACCACCGCTTTACGGATTTTTTCTCTCTCTCTCGAATCGATCGATGGATCGTTTAAACAATATCTCGCGCGTGATGACGGAGCCCGATGGAGGTTCCTCCTCAGGGGGGATTCGTTTTCAACTTTTTTCATCCGGAAGGAAGAAACGTCGTCGTCTGAAAAGTTTCTCGAGATGGATACTTTTTGTCGCGAATTAAGGGGGGGTTGGATATGGATGGGAAATTAATTATTCGGATCTATGAGGCCACGTGAAGCAGCAAGATGGAAGTTTTTGAGACGAAGTTTCTTTTTTTTTTGTTTAATATAATAACAAGTCTGTCTTGTTCAAATTATTATGCGAGAATTTTATGCGTGATGTAAAATATCGTGATCGAATATTATTCCATCTAATTACAGGCAATGATAAATTCGAAGCGAGTAGCGGGAATAATCTCTCGACTTGTTGTGTCGATTACGCTGATTCTATTAAAGTTATATATAAATTTGCATTGAACGAAGCTTGACGAGGATAGAATAGATATAATCACGCGCTAGTTCTAGAACTTTTTAAAATATATCCAACATTTACCAATAGTATTTTTCACGCGACTCATCTTTCGACTCTCTGTTTCAGTGCTCCGGAGCAGCGTCTGGAGACTTTTCGGAGCGCGTGGCGGCCCTTTTACACTCCTCCTCCACCCAGGACGACTGCTAGTCTTCGTCGAGACCACCCCCCCCCCCCAAGTCGTTCCACCTTCCTCCACAACAAGTGAAGAGACGGATGGAAACGAGAAATGCGACGGATGCCTCGACGAGGATATCGATCCTGTGATTAAGAACTCGAGAAGCTTGACGGCTTTGAAATTAAGCGTTAAACACGCGTGATCACGTGACGAAACATTTTATCGATGGTAAATGATCGATTAATTCTCCTCGAGCGAGATAAAATTGTATGATCGAGTGGGTGCAGTCGCGTTGTCGCTCCTTTTTCCTTTTTCTTTCTTGCTTCGATTTCGACCTTTGTCCGTCGAGACAAGGGTTAAGCGATCGATAATATTATCGATTAGTGTTTGGAGGAGGTTTTGCGCAATATTCTATATGAAAATATTACTTATAATTCTTCTTTCGTGTTTTACATAAATTAATTAACTCGCGTTTCGAGCGTTTCGCGTCTTTGATATATATCTCGGGTGATTAGAATTTTTCTTTTCTTTTGTTTCTTTAATTAAACGAGCATGAAGATAGATGAATTATTCAATCTTCCAAGTAGCATTAAGTAATTGCCAAGTAAACCGGGTTGAAGATGATCCAAATGATCGAATTGAGAGGAGAGCAAAAATCTCTCGTGTAAATATGTTTACATTTTCTGAGCCAAAGGAGGAGCTCGAATCGAATCTCGAGGAAAATTCCTTTGGTTGATTGAGCGTAGAAAACATGTTTTCTTCGAAAATGATAAAATTTCTTTGGCCACGGAATAGAGAAAATGCGTGTATTTTGCCATTTTATAAATACGACTTTAAAAATAACAAGAGAATTGGCAAGAAAGAGATTCACAAATTTCTCTTTTATAATCGTATTCATCTTCAATAATAAACACATTGCTCCACGTACCTCAAAACGCCAATAATAAAATTTAAAAAGAAGAAGAAGAAAGGACATTAATACAAAATAATAAGCAAAAATAAGAATCTCGAAATCCAGCTTTAGAAAAATTACAAAGAAATCACACGGTCGTTAAAAATTTGTTCGACTGAAAATGAATTTTCAGTCTCTCGAAAGATTGGATAAAAAGAATTGGTTAGAAAATATTCGCGCACTTTTCTCCTCCTTCTTTTTTTCGTTCCACCATCCTAGCGATCGCTAGATACCCAATAGAAAAAAAGGATAAACGCGAGAGGAAAAGAGCAGGCACGTGGTCGGATGCCTGCAAAGCGACCACTAGGATCACTAGACGTGCATGGAAAAAGGGAAGTGGAAAATTTTTTTTCCCTTTTTTTTTTTTTTAGAAAGAAGGACGGATAAAACAGTAACGATCTTGGCAACCTGGAGGTACCTGTGAAGTTTTCAGAGAGAAACTCGAGCAAATGAGTGGCACGTAGATAAGCTCGAAAAGCTGTCGCACTCGAAAGAAAGCAACGGAAATAAAACTGAGTGGAGGGGAAAAAAAGTTGGTGGGAAAAATGAGAGAAATATAAGTTAACGATATAACCCTTGGCAGAAAGTATTCGATTCTTTAAAATTTGTATAGTTTTTTTTTTTTCTTTCCATTGCTCGCACTCCGTTTCGATGGAATTTTCGAAATATAATATAATAATATTCCTTTTTGCAGAAGATTTTAAAGTTTTCTTCAAATATAATCGTACGTAATTATTCTTCTTTGTTCATCAACTCAACGTGCAATGATTAGTTCAGAAGATACTTTAACTTCAAATTAGTAAAGCTTGTTTAATTGATATTTATTATAAGAAAGAAACATCATCGCCATATTTATATTCTTCCACGCTTACGCTTTTGTTAATGAAAAAGCTCATAAAAGCTTTAGAAATTAAAAACGAAGATACTTAATCCGTTAATTTTAATCCATTTCAACGCGCCATCTTGTACAATTAGCGCACACAATCGAAAAGTCGTTTCTTTTTTTTTTTTTTTTTTTGGAAAAAAAGCCATTCCATTTTAAAAACGTAATGCAATGCTTTTTGCCAGGAATTGTAGAACTCGACACCCACCGTTATGAAAGGTTTTCGAAATTGCCGGGGATCGATCGTGACGAACCGTTTTACGATGGCTGGAATTGGACGTGGATGAAGCAAGTAAACTTCGATACCTCAATTGGTATATTGCATGAAAAATTGATTGGAAAGTTATTATCAGTTTTATGAAGTTTCGTTTCACGAATTCGGCCGCATATATATATACACACACACATACACACACACACGTGCATACGTGTGCATGTACGAGAACGAGTGTGCTCTCATAGAGGTTTATGAAAACCGCCGGCAGGCAGGGTGATTCGTCATAATTAATCATATTCCAGTCAAGCCGTGTCGTTTTATTGCGCGCATTTATCGGCGCGACATCCGCCCTTTAACAGGTTTCGAATTTCCATTCGAAAATGGGGGGAGGGGTCGCAAAAATCAACATCGCGTGGCGCATTTAATTGTGCGAATTAATCTTTACGTTTCACCGAGCAACCCGTTCCATTCTTCCCATTTCCAGTTCATTTCATTACCAGAAACACCCAACTTTCTGTTCAAACTTTACAATACTTCATCCTCCCTGGTTGATGACTTTTATTTATTCAAAGCTCCATTTATTTGCTCCGTTAATGAATGGTTATACAAAACAGCACACCGTGGAAATGATGTAAATAATCGAAAACGATTCTAAATTTGTTTTATATTTTTTCAAGTATAAAATTGGTTCAAATTTCTTTCCTTGTGAATCGAGATGAATCGAGAATATTTGTCCAATTTTTTACTACGAATATACATGGAATAAAGTTCGAGTCTTTGATTTTCTTAAAGTACACGTAGGAAAATGTATCCTTTCTTTTCGATCAAATAAGTTGCGTTTATTTTCAATTAGTGTCAGCCATTTTATCCCGATCTTCCTTCTTTCGTTTTCACTTATATCTCTCGTACAGTGTTCTAAAAGAGGAGTGCTATCCGTCAATCGGGGGAGGAGAAATCGTCGTCTCGCGAAGGGACTTTTGTCTTCCTCCGAGCCTTTCAATGTTTCATGAGAGCCGAAGAACAGAAAACAAGCGGTTTTCATTATTGCGCCCACTTCCGTCTTGTATTATTCAAGTTGCATCAACGTATGAATTATTCCTATTCTTTATCTACCTGTCTCGAGCCAATACCGGTAAATATCGTAACGTAGCCCCTCTCTCGAATTTTTAACCCCACTTTTCCATCGAAACGAAACGAAATTCGAAGTAGAGCTCGACTCGTTCGACATTTGGAAATCATTCTCTTCAAACCTTGCAAGCATCGTTCGATTTTTATTTCGTTAGTTTGACGATATTTTTCTACACAACAATTCCGTTAAGGCAATTCCGCGATCAAGCTTCGTCTCGTCGAATGAAATTTCACGATTGTTGCGAATAATTACGGAGGTAATACGATGAAAAAAAACTAAAATATCAAATTTGCCATTCTCGTTAAAATTTATTATGCGACAAGTCGTAATTTTCAATCTTTTATTAATTATCGACTCGTAAACAAAGATAAGAATAACGAAAAAAAGTCTCTCTCTCTCTCTCTTTAATTTAAGGAGAAAAGGAGAAAAGTAGTTTGCTTTTGGAGGGCAGTTATTATCGCGCTTTCCAAGTGATATTTTCGAAAGTATTGTTCCACAATGGAAAAGAGCCAGAGCCTGTATCTTGAATCAAGACGAAACATGGAGTACATTTGAAAGAAAGACAAATGAACCTTCTCCCCCGGCGGCCATGGGCCAAGCGCCAAACCAGGACTCTCCAGCTCTCGTGCCCTTGATTCTCCCCTCTTTTCTTTAATTCTACCCTCCTTCTTCATCTTATCTCTGTCGTATTTCTCTTCATCTTCGCTTTCAGTCGCTTTTCCCTTCTTCCTTTCCTCTTCGATTCCCCCCAGTTATCCGTTTTAACGACCGCGTATCTTTAAGTTTTCAATAACGTAATTTCGCTCAATTTAATAAAAATGTATAGCATGAGAATCTGCTCTCTCTCTCTCTCTCTCTCGCTCTCTCTGGGAAAATAAATCTACAGTCGGATGGTAAATCCTGTAAAATTGCGGATGGTAATCCCATATGTCAGGATTACGAATATCCATGAAATTGAGAAATGAGTTGACCGAGCATCACTTCACAAATATTCTTAACGGTGAAACGATTTGTAACTGTAATACGATATTTTTTGAAAAAAAAAAAGAAAAGCTTCGTGAACTTTTAAAAACTATCTACTAACTAAAATTATTAATCTTGGTTAAAATTATTCATTAAAGTTATTCGAATATCGATCTCAATCCTCCTTTCTCCTTCTTTTCGTTTTAAAAACCCCGCGCTGATGCGCTATTTGGCCGCCATTTTGTATTGTATTTAATCGTTCTTGCGTGCAATTCAATTAAGCGGAGAACATCAATATAATACAAAAGATCTTGTTTTTCTTTCGTTCCCTTTCATCGATCACTTTTTTTTAATACCTCTTCTCCATACCTTTATTACACAACAATTTCTCTTTTATCTTGTGTATAATCCATAAAAATAAAACCGAGCATAAAGGTTATGCCGAATCAAGTTCTTCTTTTCGATCATTATACAACTCTTGATAAGAAATAACAATACAAAATTTTCTCTATCAACTCCAAAAAATAATTATTTCATCGAATAAAAAATTTATCTCTCTCTATTTCAACACGAGGGAGAGAAGAAAATTATTTTCCAATTATTATTTCTCTCGCTTCGAATCGACGTAAACGCGAGAAAAATTAAAATCTGAGAACGAAAATAAAAATTGTCTTAGCGAGGTATTACTGCAACAGTCGAAGAGTTTCCAAGATTTACTCGTTTCGCGCCTCCACGCAGGTATACGTCAGAAATATTTATTACAATGGGACCGAGATTGCTTTAGCCTAGCAGGCAGCGCAAGTGCATGCATCATACAAGAGCAAACACCCACACACAGATGTATACAGTATACATACGTGTGTAACCAACGCAGTTAATCGTACGTAAATACACGCATCGCGTTGATACGAGATTTAGGCCAGTGATCGATTAACGCGTTCCTTCGACGAATCTTTCATAAATATCGAGATAACGTTTCAGACGTGTTTTGGATGAATTTATATTTGGAACGATGCTTGGCTGT